TTAAATGAGATCTGACCTGAGTGAGGGACCCAGTGTGTTCCTAGCATATAATAAGTGCTCAAGAAGTGTTTCTATTTGTTATTAAAAAACAATGGCAGATAAGTAAACCATCTGTCTCAGGACTGGTGGTGATCCTCAGGCCAGCATTTGGGAACCACTCCCCTAGGCCAGGGTGGGAGAAGGGTACCTGGGGATGTCGGCAGGAGTGAGAACTTGCTCCCCACTCAGAGATGAAAGTTGGGGAGCCCTCAGCGGGAGCCCAGCTGACCTCTTGAGTGGGCTTTGTGAAATCTGCCTGAAGCAGAAGGGATTGGGGTCCCACCTGGTGGGGTTGGGGGGATGTAAGGCAATGGGGAGGCAGAGAAGGGGAGTGGGCCTCAGATGGGCGTGGCTTTTGTGGGGCCGAATTGAGGGGCCATGACTCTTTCAGAGTCTTAACCTCTGCTGTTTGCCTCCTAGGCTGGGTTCTGCCTTGGGCCCCCAGGCTTTCTCCAAACTGGTGAGGATCCTTGAGGCCTTTTCCTCCCTTCAGCATCTGGAGTGAGTATAGCCCCCAGAATCTCTCCCAGAGACCTCGGGCTTTGACAGCCCCAGAGCCTGGCCCTATTTCTGTGGGGGGGGGCGGGGGGGCTGGTGTGAATGACCAGGTACCCCCACCACAGGGAAGGGACAGCAGCTGGAAATCCCCACTAATAAAAATAGGTTGAATCCTTTTGTCACCTTTGAAATTCTTTCCCCCTCATGTGCTGCTCCCGGCAATCTCGTGGGGAGACAGGGTCAGGGAACATGACTCCACTGTACAAATGAGGTCTCACGTCATTAAGGAAGCTGTCCCAGCTCCTGGGGCTCCCAGGAAGGAGAACAGGGATTCAGGTTCACGGGAAGTTAGTTAGAACCTTGTCCGCTGGCTGGCCAGTTGGCCCCCCAGGGGGATGAAGATTTGCTCTCAAAGGCTTGGAGCTGTATCTGCTGTGTTGTGTCCAGGGGTGGGGGGTATGGGAGGAAGCCGCCTGCTGGGTCGGGGTGGGGGAGGGTCGAGTGGCCTCCGGGGTGCTGGCTGATGGCCCCCCATGTGATTGCACCTGCAGCCTGGACTCCCTGAGTGAGAACAAGATTGGAGATGAGGGGGTCGCCCAGCTCTCAGCCACCTTCCCTCAGCTGAAGGCCCTGGAGACGCTCAAGTGAGTAGGCTAGGCCTGCCCTCTCTGCTGGATTTGTCCCCCAGAGTGCAGCTGGCTTTTTTATTCTTTCAGTCACACATCCATTCAATCGTGCATTCATTTAATCATCTACCCATTCATTCATTCATTCATTTTTTCATTTCTTTATTTAATCATCCAATCAACCAATCATTTATTCACTTAATCAACAAATATTTAAGGAGCACCTACTATATGCAGCCACCATTCCAGGCCCTGGAGACCCAGCTTTAAGTAAAACAAAAGCCCCTTGCTGGGGAGGGGATAACTCAGTGGTAGAGTACGTGGCTAGCAGGCATGAGGTCCTGGGTTCAATCCCCAGTACTGCCATTAAAATAAATAAAAAATAAATTAAAATTAATTACCTCACCCCCAAAACAAACAAATTTTTAAAAAAATTATCATCAAAATCTAGCCACACTCCACTCCATAACCAGGATCGGAGCAGCCACAGAATTCACCAGAATTTACTTAGGGATTTCCTTAATGGTAGGACACTGAAACTTCTCGAGCAATTTACAGCATCTTAGGAAACAGCTGTGAATAGGCCAGACTTCCCTCCCTTCATCCCTCCTCCCTTTCTCCCTCCCTCCCTCTCTTTGTCCCTCAGTCCCTCCCTCATCTTCCTCCCTCTCCTCCTTTTCCTTCCCTTCTTTTTTTCCCCACTTAAATAATTTATGAGCACGAACTATGTGCTTGGCACTTCTGTAGCCGCAGGGATACAGTAACAAACAAAACAGACCTGACCCCTCGCCTCGGTGGACCCCACGTCGTTAAACAAATTATGTGAACTCTTATGTAATGACGGTGCTGGAAAGTGCTCCAAAGGGAAAAGAAGGGATGCTACAAAATCATAAAATAGATGTTGGGGGAGAGCCATCTCCCTCATTTGCGTCCTCACCCCCATCGTCCCCCTCAACCTCAGGTCATAACTGCAGTCTTTTGTTAACCATTAGCACAAGTCTACCCGAAGCACCACTCTTATGCAGGTAAACTGTCTGTGCTTGCTGCTCTGGGCCACCCTGTGAGGAGGCAGGAGTTTCCAGCTCTGCCCGAGCCTGGGACGAAAGATGCTGATGGGGAGGGGCATTCAAGTTTGGTCCTGAGCCCTACCCCCCTTGTTGTACCCCTGCAGCTTGTCCCAGAACAACATCACCGACGTGGGCGCCTGCAAGCTGGCCAAGGCCCTGCCCTCACTGGCTGCATCCCTCGTCAGGCTGAGGTGAGTGGCCCCCATGGGTCAGGTGCTGAGCTGGTGGGCTGGGGGTGGGCAGAGAGCCCCCCTGATGCCAACTGTAAGGTCGCACACTGAGACCCTGGAAGCAAAAACTACAGGCTGTTCTGTGTCATCGTTGCACAACTTGGTGGGGGTCGGGGTGGAGGGGCACCAACCTAAGATCCAATATGAACACATCCCCTGGAGTAGGGCAATGCCACCGCCCCAAACAAGAGGATTAGTAGCACTTGGGGGAAAGGGGCGCCTGGCAAACTTTGGGCAAGTCGATTAAGTATTCCTAACCTCTGTTTCCTCATCTGGAAAATGGGTACCATCCTAATGGCCTATGGAAAGGGCTTGGCGCAATGCCTGGCTCTAATGCTCAATAAATATTGATATTCCTTCCCCAGTGGATGGCAGGACTGAGCTTTTTCTGGAGTCCAGGGGTGGTGGTTTCTAGAAGGCTGACCACCATGCACAGGCAGACTTGGCAGGCTTTTGTCACTCACAGACTGGTCTTTGCCTGCACTGCCACCTTCTGGTCGTCTTTGGCATAGCAGTTCTTGCTTTTGATTACTTTCAGCCCGGCCCCTGGTGGGACCAAGGGGTCCTTCCAGCCCATTATCCTTCCAGCCAGGGTCCTTGCATGCAGCTGCACAGGTTGTGGGCTGTACAGGTTGTAGTCTATGTGATTGGCATCCCCTAGAGTTGTGAGGGCATTTAATATTCTCTAAAATCAACCATAGGCCAGAACCTGTGCTAGGAACTAGAGGTACGACTATGAACAAAACCAGTGCGGGTCTTGCTTTCAAGTTCCTTGCATAATAAAAAAGCACATGCATAAGCAAAGTATTTAAAACAGTGATTCATACTGGGAAGGAGGAAACTAACAAAGGCCCCGGAGGGCAAAATAGAGAGCGTTGAATTCACCAAGGAGGGGGGAGACCTCTGAGGAGGTGACCCCTTACCTTCTATGGGAAGCTCTCAGGGAAAAGCATTCCAGGAAAAGGGAACAGCAGAGGCAAAGGCCTTGACGTGGGAAAGAGGTTGGGTCTTTGAGGGTCGTAAGGGCCACTGTGGCTGGCTGCAGGGGATGAGGGACACAGGTGGGAGATGAGGTGAGAGAGGTCAGGGAAGGCCAAATCATGCAGGGAGGCCCATGTAGGTTAGGAGGGGGTTTTGGAGTTTTTCCGTTGTGAATGGAGAAGTAGGTGGTGCATGTGCGGGTGTATATGATCTGACTGACACTTTAAGAAACCTTATATTTTATGAACTCTAAGATGCCATCTGTCATAAGTCACCATTTAGAGGACAAAACACTGCTAATTAAACTATGACGTTCATTGATTATCAGACACACCCTGATCTCAGTGATTTTCCAATGTGAACATGCACATCTTGGCATCAATGAAATATGGAAAGAAACCTCTGCCTGTGGCAGGGAGGAAGGGCCTCCTGGGTTCTAAGATCCAACCCAGGAAGAAATTATAAAACCTCTGCCTGGTTCCTGCCCTGGTACTGGCCGACCCATGACATCAGTGGATCCTGGAGTTTAGCTTGAATCCACTTTGCTGCAGTGCTTCTTTGACCTGTAGCCCTTCAGTGTAGCTCTGAGGCTGAGTCATGGCAAAGTCATAGCCTTAAAATTAGAACCGTGGCCATACCTGGCTTGTTAAAAGGATGCTGGTTAATAAGTGTATAGCTTAAGTCAGCACCAGCAACACCCGTTGTGCTATTTTTGACACTGCTGTTGGTGACTGAATACACGATTGAAACCCAAGCCGGCCCAGTGACTCTGAGTTTCTCTCTCCCCTGCTAACCCCAGTGCTGGACACACCCCCTACGGTAACTTGTATAACCTTCACAAACCCCCTTGGGAGGTAGTAATAACCATAATTAAGATGTAGTTCGTTCCAGGTGTTGGACCCCGTTCCGGATATTTTACCAACATTAACTCATTTACTCCTCCTTATAATTACTCTACTATCTCCATTTTATGGAGGAGGAAACTGAGTCACAGAGGAGTTAAGTAACTTATCAAAAGTCAGACAGGCAGCAAGCCACAGAGCTGGGATTTGAACTCAGAAAGTCTCAGTTAGGAAGCTACTTCCACTCAGTCCTGCTGCTTCTCCAGACTCACTAACTGCATGACCACGGAGAAGCAGCTCAGCTCCCTGGGACTCAGTTTTTATCCTCTGTAAAATGGGGCAGTAATCCTGGCTGGGTGGGCTCCCCGTGGGTCCTGACCCCCCAGCGACCCCAGCCCCTGCCCTGACCTCTGTTCCCGGCAGCTTGTACAATAACTACATCTGCGACGCGGGAGCCGAGAGCCTGGCGCACGTGCTTCCGGACATGGTGTCCCTCCGGGTGCTGGAGTGAGTGTGGGAGCCCAGGCAGCAGGGGGCGGGGACCAGCGCTTGGGAGGACCAGGGGTCTCCTGCTGGCCCCGTGGGCAGCGCTGGGCTGAGGTCTGCTTGTCAAGAGCGTGGTGATGGCCTTGGCCTGGGACTGGTTGGTCCCCAGGGCCAGGATCCACAACGGGTTTCTTTCCCCAGTGTCCAGTACAACAAGTTCACAGCTGCTGGGGCCCAGCAGCTCACCGCCAGCCTGAGAAAGTGCCCTCAAGTGGAGACGCTGGCGTAAGTCTCGGCAGTGGTGGAGAGTCAGTGTGAGGTTCATTGTGTGAGCCCTGAGCCCAGTCCCACTCTGCCCCTTACCAGTGTGCAACCTTGCAAGCAGACATTTCTTCCCTCTGGCCTCAGTTTCTTTGTCTATAAAATGGGAGCAATAATAATATTTACCCCCAAGCAGTTTTGTGGGGTTTAAATTAGTCAAGACATACAAAGCACGTAGAAGAAGGTCTGGTACACAAAAATGCTCACTATATTAGGCTGGATGATATGAAACCGCTTATATTCAACGGTTTGTGATTCACACAATTGGTAATTACTTATGGTTCAAACTTATTTAGTATTATGTCACCATGATGCTTACTGTCCAATATTGTGCTTTATACTCTTCCAAAGCACTTTCATCTGCATAATCACTCATATCTTCTAAGAGGAATAGAGTCGATCTTATAAGACCTATTTTACAAATGAGGCAAATAAGGCACAGAGAGGTTAACTAATGCTTTTGAGGTCACACAGCAAGTCAGCAGCAGAACCAGGCCTAAAGGAAGGGGTCTTGGGGCTCCTAGGCCTCTGGTGTCCCCACAACCCCACACTAGGCTGGGTGGGAGGAGGGATTTGGGGGCAGCTTGCGTTGGGGCTCCAGTCCACACTGTCTCCTTTAACCTGGCCTCTTGGTGCCATGCCCTCATCGCAGGATGTGGACACCCACTATCCCATTTGGAGTCCAGGAACACCTGCAGCAGTTGGACTCACGGATCATCCTGAGATGATCTGGGCTGTGCCTGGGACAAGGTAACTGAGGTGGGCGTGGAAGGGGAGAACCACGGGGCCCCTAGGGTCAATGTCCTGTGAAATCAGAATCCATAAAAAGTGGGCAGGCAGGGGCAGCGGTCACCCAGCTCCCACCACTGGACCGTGCTCCACCCCGTACCCTCCTGTGCTGGGCTCGGCAGGGTGTCTTCTAAAGGCTTGAGGACTTGGGCCCTGAGGGTCCTCTCTGTGGGCGGTTGTGGAGGCGGCGGGGAAGGGCAGATGGGTCAGCTGTGCGTGCTTCACAGCCCTTAGCATTGGAAGGTCTTCCTCCGAGGACCTCCCAGCCAGGCCCGCTGCTGTTTCAGCCTGTTGGTTGCCCTAATGCCTGGCACCGTCCTCACAGGACTTTGCTCTACAAACTTCCTGCCTCTCTCTTTGCAGAGGACTGTCCCCTGACTTTCGTGTTCCCCTGACCTATGACGTCCCCCTCCACCATTCCTCCCCCCAGTCCCCACCACACTCTATCCATGTATTGAAATGCCCAATCCGAAAGCTCCCTGACCTCCCCATTCTCCTGACCTCCTGCAGCATGTTCTCTAAGGACACAGACCACGCTGGACCCTGACCTGGCTGTTTGTGGACACAGCTCTTTTGGGGCCATGTCCCAGGAGTCTCAGTGCCCTGGCACCCAGCCCTGGTGGCTCAGGGTTGGCCCCTGCCCAGCTGCAGAAAGGACCCACGTCCGGCTCTGTGGACAGACCCAGGCCTGGCCCCAGGCTCCTCGGGGCCCAGGTTGATGTCAGCCCTGCCAGACGGCTGTGGTCCTGCCAGACGGGTGGGCGTCTGTCTGTTGGCAGCTGCTGTCCAGCCGGGAGCCCTGAGGCCTTCCCTGCAGGACACCGCAGGCAGCCGTGGCCAGGCCAGAGCAAAGGATGAGGTGGCTGCATCTCCGCCTGCCCGGGTCCTGCCGGCCGGGGGAGAAAGCACTTCTCCACGCTGCTCCCCTCCCAGGGCACACCCGGCACTCTGATGGTACCAGCAGGCAAGCCCGCACTGCTGATTTCCCAAACCATGACAGCTGGGATTCCATGGCGCTGCCTTCTGTCTCTGGCACTCGCTGGTTTGCACTCACTTTGTTTGCCGAGGCCAAAGCTAGTCCTGGCCAGACATGCGGACTTGAGCAGGAGAAGAGCTGACGATACACTAATGGAGAAGGGGAGGGGTGATGGACTGGAGCCACATCCACCTTTTTGCCTTCATTTCCTGTCTTTTTTCACTACACTATAAATGGCTCATTCAATCTCACAGACAGGTCCAGTGTTTGAGTTTATACCATGATTTGCATTTTGGGTGCCCACTGTTCTGGCTACCTAGAGCCTCACAAACCACCCCAAAATGTGATGGCTCGAAACAGCATATTTATTTTGCTCACACAGCTGTCTTTGCGTCAGGGCTTGGTGGGGACAGCTCGTCTCTGCCCCACTCAGTGTCAGCTGGGGTCATCCGGAGGGCTCAGTCACATATGTCCAGACCCTGATGCTGGCCGGTGGCTGGGGGCCTCGGTTCCCCCAAGGAAGTGTCAGAGGGGACTTCTCCACCTGGGCAAGCTTGGGCTTGCTCACAGCACGGTGGCTGGGTTGAAGGGTGATCATCCCAAAAGGAAGACAGGTGGAGTGGGGAGACCTAGACCATGGAGAGAAGTCGTGTCCTTTCAATAACCCAGCTTTAGATGTCACACAGTGTCACCTCTGCCATATTCTATGGCCAGTTGACAGGGGCCATTACCTTCCTACCCTCCCCACTCCCCACCTCGTCAGCCCAGCACAGAGAGCAGAGTCTACTTTGGCCCAAGACCTGTCTTTTGGGAGAGGATTTTCTTTATGGCTTCCTACAATTCATTGGAAAATTCATTATGTGGGTGGGTCAGCGAGGCTGAAGGGCCACGAGCCTTGCAGAGTGTTTTCCTCTCTTTCTGACCCTCCCCTCTATCCTGGGAATCATTTCTTAACCGAGCTGGAATCTGGCCCTGGCCATGCGAGCCCGAAAGGGACTTGGCAGCTTTGCTGTCTACACAGAGAGCTGCCAGCTCGGCTGTTGTTTCTGTATGCTCAGTCAGAAGCCCCTGTTTGGGACAACCTGGCTCTCTCCTGGTGGCCGTGGGAGCTATCTGTTTGGCTCCAGTGCTCCAGCCCTGATGCCCAGTTCCCAAACTCTCCTCCTTTTCCCAGCAAGTGTGACTTGAGGGGCGGGAGGGTCAGAGAGATTCTGACCCAGCTGTCTGGCTGGGGAACCTGGCCAGAAGGCAGCGCCTTCCCCCTTGGCCCAGCAGCTAAGGGCATCAGACCCTATAGCTTAAGCGTCACTCCTTAGGGTGTCCCAACACACGTGGACTCGGTGTAGTCCACAGGGTTCCCATTTGTGCAGCCTCAGGAGTGAGCACTGAGACAGTCCCCCAGTCTAGGCATCACCCGCACCCTTTAGCCAGGCGGGGGGGCACTATGTCCCCCTCACTTTTGGTCCATTCAGAGGTGACTAATGAGGTCAGAGGCTGTAATCATTCGTAGTAGTGACTTTAAATGATAGTTACCACTTATGAAATGAGTTGAAACATGTAAATCACCCATCACAACCCAAGGAACACAGTAAGTGCTCAATAAATATTGGCAATGATTATTACTTTGGGCCAGGCACTGTGCTAAGCTCTTCCTCCTCAAGACCGACCACATTGTAGGGTCAGCAGCTCAGACTCTAGAGCTAGACTACGTGGGCTTGATGCCCAGCTCACCACTTACTTGTACAAATTATTTCTCTGGGCCTCAGTCTCCTCATATGCAAAATGGGCACGATCACAGTGCCTTCTTTGTGGGTTACGTGGAGATTCAATGAGTGAATATGCTGAAAACAAGAGCCTGGCACACGGTGCAATACCTGTCGGCTGTCATTATTACATACATTTGTGTGTTTCATTCTTGCCTCTGCCTGGAATGTTTCCCCAGCTCTTCACGTGGCCTGTGGGTCTCAGTTTAAAGGACAGCTCCTCAGGAGGGTCTACCAGACCACCGTACCAAACAGAGACACCCCCTCCAACTCCATCACTAGTTCATCTTTTCACACTTACACATTGTGTTGTCTGCTCTTGTCTGAGGATGTAAGCTCTCAGAGGGCAGGTAACTTATCTGTTTGTTCATTGCTGTACCCTCTGCACACAGGGAGGTGCTGCATGTATTAAGTGCTCAATGTTTGTGAAATGAACAAATCATCCTCGTCACAACTTTGCTTTCTTTATTTGCTGTATGCATTTCACAAGTATGTAGTGAGTACACAGTGGTATACTCAGTAAGATGCTCAAGGTCCCTGCTCTGTTAGGTATTGCATTTTAGTAAATTAAAAGAATTCCCTGGGCAGGGTTGTCAGGTGTGGTTGGGCAGGCTGTGCACTGCACAAAGGCACCTGGACAAGGGGGCAAGTAAAGGCTGTCATTCAGTCTGGGCTCTGCTTGCCAAGCTGTGAATACTGGTGTGGAGCATGTCTGCCCAGAGGGGCACCTTCATCATTAACACAAAGTCATCTTATGAGGTGGGTACATGACTGTCCCCATTTCACAGAAGATATGAGTGACTTGCCTAAGGTCACACCCCAATAAACGAGGGAGTCAAAGATGCAAACTCTACTTCTGACTTCTTTGGAGGGTCTCTCTGTGGGCACAGGCACCAGGTGCTGGAATTGCTCCCTGAGCCCCATTTGCTGGGTGGGAGAAGCCATGCCTGGGGGAATCAGGGCATCTGACGTCTGGAGTCACACTGTCCACTGACAGCATGATTCCACTTTTAGTGGCTATCAAGCCTGTGCATCTTTTAAACCCTGGCCCTTCCCCTCAGGTCTCTCTCTCACAGAACAGACCTCATTTCCCCAGTTCCCCCTTTTCTTGAACGTCTTCCGTCCTCACCTCTCAGCATCCCCTTTCTTAGAATCACATGAAGACAGGTGGTGCTGTAGCTGCCTTCTCTTCTTCTGCCGGATCTTTCCTCTCCCACACCTCAGTCTCCTCACCTGTGAAATGGAGCTAA